ATTGATAAGGATTCATTGCTGGTGCTTGCTGGTAGTAATGCCGTGGCATTGTGAGACTCATTGACTGTAGTGGCTGGAAATGTGGCCGGATCAATGTCTGTTGTAAGCTACCACCTACCGGTAGAGATTGATATATCAACAGTGAATTATTAGCACTAGCACTAGCGGGGGTTTGTCCTAATAAACCGCTATCGAACGAACCACAATGAAATAACCACGTTCGATTTTTTTTTTTTCTTCGATAGTTTACTCCTTTCTGTCGGGGGGGGGGGGGGGGGGGTAAATGCGCTACTTTTTCTAGTATAGACGGCATCAGATCACCTAAAAATAAGAATGGGTTTATTATTGTACATGTATTAGGTGCACACGATCTGGAAGCGTCATAGTGTAGTGATTCTGACTCTCGTATTTCAATCGTAAGGTCGTGAATTCCACCAGCAAGAAATTCATCCACATTGAGCTGCACTCCACCCATGCAGGTGAAGTAAATAGGGACCTGGTAGGAATTTATTCCTTTTAACACAGATCTCGTAGCTTAGAGACTTCCGATGAAGTAAGTGTTAGGCGCTATAAAGACACATATCATTATCATTATATATAATTCTGTTTAGGATAGCATTCACCAACTTCTTTTGTTTTGATTTTCCAATCCACCATTGTGTCAACTCTTCAAGTACATCCTTTCAAAACCTTATATCGCTCACACAAAGCGCGCGAACGGCCACCAAAGGAGGCCTTTTCGCGAGTTTTATTAGTATCATCATTATGAGATTGAGAACACACTCACCAGTACCTGCATATTGATAAGGATTCATTGCTGGTGCTTGCTGGTAGTAATGCCGTGGCATTGTGAGACTCATTGACTGTAGTGGCTGGAAATGTGGCCGGATCAATGTCTGTTGTAAGCTACCACCTACCGGTAGAGATTGATATATCAACAGTGAATTATTAGCACTAGCTATTTTAAACAACAACTTAAAATTTTCTCAACCTTTTTGTGTGCACCTTGAGCATTTGATTTCAAGTTGAATCGGCGCCTGACAAATCTCATATCGATATTATAATATGAGTAAGGAAATCCATTGAAATCTAAAAACTTTTAGGGTGCTGCACGCCTCCGGCTGAAAAAATGCCACGTGTCATTCGTTATGACTGCAGATTGTTCTAAAGGATGGGATTTTTAAAATAAGTTGTTTGAAATTTCGAAATGAAAAATAAAAACTCAAAATAGTTCATGAAAGAGGATCGATGGCAACGGATATCGGTACTTGCGCTGAACAGCGAATGTACACTCTTCAAATTTAAATTGAGGCTAATAAAATTGGCGATACCTTCAGCATGTATAAAGGAAGGTTCCGCAGGAGAAAATTTCTGTACTATTTCTGTAGGTCTATGAGATTTCGTCTCTGCAACTTTTTCACGGATAGCTGAAATAAGCAACAAGTACTGTTGCGTTTGCTGGTGCCTTCATCTTCGTGGAAAGCGAACACGAAAGCCGCGATTGCTTGCGCTGTATCTTGTATTTGGTCACTTACACTCTCCCTGGTTGATCTGATCATGTGAAAATTACAGTTGTGAAAATTCCCAGTTGTGGAAATAAGTGAAATTACAAAGATATTTTGATTTTCTGGGACAGGATAAGATTTTGTTACATCTGAAGTGACCAAATGTCACGATTTTTAACTTGATGAATGTGTACGTGTTTAGAGTCGCTGTCTAGCTTTGCAGAAATGTCCAAACCATTTCTGTTCGGTTCGTTAATATATTCTATTTTTATGTAGATTTTTCTTCTTTTTTTTTTTTGGGGGGGGTCCAGTTTTTGAGGAAAGATTTCGCAAGGACTCAGTCATCAGCCGCTGGCAGGGAGGGGGGGGGGGGGGTCGTCTTAATTAACCGCTATAGAACGAACCACAATGGAATTAACCCGGTTCGATTAATTTATTTTTTCTCTCGATAGTTTATTCCTTTCTGTTTGGGGGGGGGGGGTAAATGCGCTACTTTTACTAGTATAGACGGCATCAGATCACCTAAAAATAAGAATGGGTTTATTATTGTACATGTATTAGGTGCACACGATCTGGAAGCGTCATAGTGTAGTGGTTCTGACTCTCGTATTTCAATCGTACGGTCGTGAATTCCTACAGCAAGAAATTCATCCACATTGAGCTGCACTCCACCCATGCAGGTGAAGTAAATAGGGACCTGGTAGGAATTTATTCCTTGAAACGCAGAGCTCGTGGCTTAGAGACTTCCGATGAAGTAAGTGTTAGGCACTATAAAGACATGTCATTATCATTATAATTCTGTTTAGGATAGCATTCACCAACTTCTTTTGTTTTGATTTTCCAATCCACCATTGTGTCAACTATTCAAGTACGTCCTTTCAAAACCTTATATCGCTCACACAAAGCGCGCGAACGGCCACCAAAGGAGGCCTTTTCGCGAGTTTTATTAGTATCATCATTATGAGATTGAGAACACACTCACCAGTACCTGCATATTGATAAGGATTCATAGCTGGTGCTTGCTGGTAGTAATGCCGTGGCATTGTGAGACTCATTGACCGTAGTGGCTGGAAATGTGGTCGGATCAATGTCTGTTGTAAGCTACCACCTACCGGTAGAGATTGATATATCAACAGTGAATTATTAGCACTAGCTATTTTAAACAACAACTTAAAATTTTCTCAACCTTTTTGTGTGCACCTTGAGCATTTGATTTCAAGTTGAATCGGCGCCTGACAAATCTCATATCGATATTATAATATGAGTAAGGAAATCCATTGAAATCTAAAAACTTTTAGGGTGCTGCACGCCTCTGGCTGAAAAAAAGCCACGTGTCATTCTTTATGACTGCAGATTGTTCTAAAGGATGGGATTTTTAAAATAAGTTGTTTGAAATTTCGAAATGAAAAATAGAAACTCAAAATAGTTCATGAAAGAGGATCGATGGCAACGGATATCGGTACTTGCGCTGAACAGCGAATGTACACTCTTCAAATTTAAATTGAGGCTAATAAAATTAGCGATACCTTCAGCATGTATAAAGGAAGGTTCCGCAGGAGAAAATTTCTGTACTATTTCTGTAGGTCTATGAGATTTCGTCTCTGCAACTTTTTCACGGATAACTGAAATAAGCAACAAGTACTGTTGCGTTTGCTGGTGCCTTCATCTACGTGGAAAGCGAACACGAGAGCCGCGATTGCTTGCGCTGTATCTTGTATTTGGTCACTTACACTCTCCCTGGTTGATCTGATCATGTGAAAATTACAGTTGTGAAAATTCCCAGTTGTGGAAATAAGTGAAATTACAAAGATATTTTGATTTTCTGGGACAGGATAAGATTTTGTTACATCTGAAGTGACCAAATGTCACGATTTTTAACTTGATGAATGTGTACGTGTTTAGAGTCGCTGTCTAGGTTCGTTAATATATTCTTTTTTTATGTAGATTTTTCTTCTTTTTTTTTTTCTTTTTTTTTTGGGGGGGGTCCAGTTTTTGAGGAAAGATTTCGCAAGGACTCAGTCAGCCGCTGGCAGGGGGGGGGGGGGGTCATCCTAATTAACCGCTATAGAACGAACCACAATGGAATTAACCCGGTTTCGATTTATTTATTTTTTCTCTCGATAGTTTATTCCTTTATGTTGGGGGGGGGGGGGGTAGATGCGCTACTTTTACTAGTATAGACGGCATCAGATCACCTAAAAATAAGAATGGGTTTATTATTGTACATGTATTAGGTGCACACGATCTGAAAGCGTCACAGTGTAGTGGTTCTGACTCTCGTATTTCAATCGTAAGGTCGTGAATTCCTCCACCAAGAAATTCATCCACATTGAGCTGCTCTCCACCCATGCAGGTGAAGTAAATAGGGACCTGGTAGGAATTTATTCCTTGAAACGCAGAGCTCGTGGCTTAGAGACTTCCGATGAAGTAAGTGTATAAAGACACATATCATTATCATTATAATTCTGTTTAAGATAGCATTCACCAACTTCTTTGTTTTGATTTTCCAATCCACCATTGTGTCAACTATTCAAGTACGTCCTTTCAAAACCTTATATCGCTCACACAAAGCGCGCGAACGGCCACCAAAGGCGGCCTTTTCGTGAGTTTTATTAGTATCATCATTATGAGATTGAAAGGGTTGATATACACACTCACCAGTACCTGCATATTGATAAGGATTCATTGCTGGTGCTTGCTGGTAGTAATGCCGTGGCATTGTGAGACTCATTGACTGTAGTGGCTGGAAATGTGGCCGGATCAATGTCTGTTGTAAGCTACCACCTACCGGTAGAGATTGATATATCAACAGTGAATTATTAGCACTAGCACTAGCGGGGGTTTGTCCTAATAAACCGCTATCGAACGAACCACAATGAAATAACCACGTTCGATTTTTTTTTTTCTTCGATAGTTTACTCCTTTCTGTCGGGGGGGGGGGGGGGGTTGTAAATGCGCTACTTTTTCTAGTAAAGACGGCATCAGATCACCTAAAAATAAGAATGGGTTTATTATTGTACATGTATTAGGTGCACACGATCTGGAAGCGTCATAGTGTAGTGATTCTGACTCTCGTATTTCAATCGTAAGGTCGTGAATTCCACCAGCAAGAAATTCATCCACATTGAGCTGCACTCCACCCATGCAGGTGAAGTAAATAGGGACCTGGTAGGAATTTATTCCTTTTAACACAGATCTCGTAGCTTAGAGACTTCCGATGAAGTAAGTGTTAGGCGCTATAAAGACACATATCATTATCATTATATATAATTCTGTTTAGGATAGCATTCACCAACTTCTTTTGTTTTGATTTTCCAATCCACCATTGTGTCAACTCTTCAAGTACATCCTTTCAAAACCTTATATCGCTCACACAAAGCGCGCGAACGGCCACCAAAGGAGGCCTTTTCGCGAGTTTTATTAGTATCATCATTTTGAGATTGAGAAGGGTTGATATACACACTCACCAGTACCTGCATATTGATAAGGATTCATAGCTGGTGCTTGGTGGTAGTAATGCCGTGGCATTGTGAGACTCATTGACTGTAGTGGCTGGAAATGTGGCCGGATCAATGTCTGTTGTAAGCTACCACCTACCGGTAGAGATTGATATATCAACAGTGAATTATTAGCACTAGCTATTTTAAACAACAACTTAAAATTTTCTCAACCTTTTTGTGTGCACCTTGAGCATTTGATTTCAAGTTGAATCGGCGCCTGACAAATCTCATATCGATATTATAATATGAGTAAGGAAATCCATTGAAATCTAAAAACTTTTAGGGTGCTGCACGCCTCCGGCTGAAAAAATGCCACGTGTCATTCGTTATGACTGCAGATTGTTCTAAAGGATGGGATTTTTAAAATAAGTTGTTTGAAATTTCGAAATGAAAAATAAAAACTCAAAATAGTTCATGAAAGAGGATCGATGGCAACGGATATCGGTACTTGCGCTGAACAGCGAATGTACACTCTTCAAATTTAAATTGAGGCTAATAAAATTGGCGATACCTTCAGCATGTATAAAGGAAGGTTCCGCAGGAGAAAATTTCTGTACTATTTCTGTAGGTCTATGAGATTTCGTCTCTGCAACTTTTTCACGGATAGCTGAAATAAGCAACAAGTACTGTTGCGTTTGCTGGTGCCTTCATCTTCGTGGAAAGCGAACACGAAAGCCGCGATTGCTTGCGCTGTATCTTGTATTTGGTCACTTACACTCTCCCTGGTTGATCTGATCATGTGAAAATTACAGTTGTGAAAATTCCCAGTTGTGGAAATAAGTGAAATTACAAAGATATTTTGATTTTCTGGGACAGGATAAGATTTTGTTACATCTGAAGTGACCAAATGTCACGATTTTTAACTTGATGAATGTGTACGTGTTTAGAGTCGCTGTCTAGCTTTGCAGAAATGTCCAAACCATTTCTGTTCGGTTCGTTAATATATTCTATTTTTATGTAGATTTTTCTTCTTTTTTTTTTTTGGGGGGGGTCCAGTTTTTGAGGAAAGATTTCGCAAGGACTCAGTCATCAGCCGCTGGCAGGGAGGGGGGGGGGGGTCGTCTTAATTAACCGCTATAGAACGAACCACAATGGAATTAACCCGGTTCGATTAATTTATTTTTTCTCTCGATAGTTTATTCCTTTCTGTTTGGGGGGGGGGGGGGGTAAATGCGCTACTTTTACTAGTATAGACGGCATCAGATCACCTAAAAATAAGAATGGGTTTATTATTGTACATGTATTAGGTGCACACGATCTGGAAGCGTCATAGTGTAGTGGTTCTGACTCTCGTATTTCAATCGTAAGGTCGTGAATTCCTCCAGCAAGAAATTCATCCACATTGAGCTGCTCTCCACCCATGCAGGTGAAGTAAATAGGGACCTGGTAGGAATTTATTCCTTGAAACGCAGAGCTCGTGGCTTAGAGACTTCCAATGAAGTAAGTGTTAGGCGCTATAAAGACACATATCATTATCATTATAATTCTGTTTAGGATAGCATTCACCAACTTCTTTTGTTTTGATTTTTCAATCAATCGTACGCTCGTGAATTCCACCAGCAAGAAATTCATCCACATTGAGCTGCACTCCACCCATGCAGGTGAAGTAAATAGGGACCTGGTAGGAATTTATTCCTTGAAACGCAGAGCTCGTGGCTTAGAGACTTCCGATGAAGTAAGTGTTAGGCCCTATAAAGACACATATCATTATCATTATAATTCTGTTTAGGATAGTATTCACCAACTTCTTTTGTTTTGATTTTCCAATCAATCGTACGCTCGTGAATTCCTACAGCAAGAAATTCATCCACATTGAGCTGCACTCCACCCATGCAGGTGAAGTAAATAGGGACCTGGTAGGAATTTATTCTCTGAAACGCAGAGCTCGTGGCTTAGAGACTTCTGATGAAGTAAGTGTTAGGCGCTATAAAGACACATATCATTATCATTATAATTCTGTTTAGGATAGCATTCACCAACTTCTTTTGTTTTGATTTTCCAATACACCATTGTGTAAACTCTTCAAGTACATCCTTTCAAAACCTTATATCGCTCACACGAAGCGCGCGAAAGGCCGCCAAAGGCAGCCTTTTCGCGAGTTTTATTAGTATCATCATTATGAGATTGAGAAGGGTTGATATACACACTCACCAGTACCTGCATATTGATAAGGATTCATTGCTGGTGCTTGCTGGTAGTAATGCCGTGGCATTGTGAGACTCATTGACTGTAGTGGCTGGAAATGTGGCCGGATCAATGTCTGTTGTAAGCTACCACCTACCGGTAGAGATTGATATATCAACAGTGAATTATTAGCACTAGCTATTTTAAACAACAACTTAAAATTTTCTCAACCTTTTTGTGTGCACCTTGAGCATTTGATTTCAAGTTGAATCGGCGCCTGACAAATCTCATATCGATATTATAATATGAGTAAGGAAATCCATTGAAATCTAAAAACTTTTAGGGTGCTGCACGCCTCCGGCTGAAAAAATGCCACGTGTCATTCTTTAATTATGACTGCAGATTGTTCTAAAGGATGGGATTTTTAAAATAAGTTGTTTGAAATTTCGAAATGAAAAATAAAAACTCAAAATAGTTCATGAAAGAGGATCGATGGCAACGGATATCGGTACTTGCGCTGAACAGCGAATGTACACTCTTCAAATTTAAATTGAGGCTAATAAAATTGGCGATACCTTCAGCATGTATAAAGGAAGGTTCCGCAGGAGAAAATTTCTGTACTATTTCTGTAGGTCTATGAGATTTCGTCTCTGCAACTTTTTCACGGATAGCTGAAATAAGCAACAAGTACTGTTGCGTTTGCTGGTGCCTTCATCTTCGTGGAAAGCGAACAAGAAAGCCGCGATTGCTTGCGCTGTATCTTGTATTTGGTCACTTACACTCTCCCTGGTTGATCTGATCATGTGAAAATTACAGTTGTGAAAATTCCCAGTTGTGGAAATAAGTGAAATTACAAAGATATTTTGATTTTCTGGTTCGTTAATATATTCTATTTTTATGTAGATTTTTCTTCTTTTTTTTTTTTGGGGGGGGGGGGGGAGGTTCAGTTTTTGAGGAAAGATTTCGCAAGGACTCAGTCAGCCGCTGGCAGGGGGGGGGGGTTCGTCCTAATTAACCGCTATAGAACGAACCACAATGGAATTAACCCGGTTCGATTTATTTATTTTTTCTCTCGATAATTTATTCCTTTCTGTTGGGGGGGGGGGGGGTGGGGGGGGGGGGGGGTAAATGCGCTACTAGTATAGACGGCATCAGATCACCTAAAAATAAGAATGGGTTCATTATTGTACATGCATTAGGTGGTTCTGACTCTCGTATTTCAATCGTAAGGTCGTGAATTCCTCCAGCAAGAAATTCATCCACATTGAGCTGCACTCCACCCATGCAGGTGAAGTAAATAGGGACCTGGTAGGAATTTATTCCTTGAAACGCAGAGCTCGTGGCTTAGAGACTTCCGATGAAGTAAGTGTTAGGCCCTATAAAAACACATATCATTATCATTATAATTCTGTTTAGGATAGTATTCACCAACTTCTTTTGTTTTGATTTTCCAATCAATCGTACGCTCGTGAATTCCTACAGCAAGAAATTCATCCACATTGAGCTGCACTCCACCCATGCAGGTGAAGTAAATAGGGACCTGGTAGGAATTTATTCCTTGAAACGCAGAGCTCGTGGCTTAGAGACTTCCGATGAAGTAAGTGTTAGGCGCTTTAAAGACACATATCATTATCATTATAATTCTGTTTAGGATAGTATTCACTAACTTCTTTTGTTTTGATTTCCAATCCACCATTGTGTCAACTATTCAAGACGCTCATACAAAGCGTGCGAAAGGCCGCCAAAGGCAGCCTTTTCGCGAGTTTTATTAGTATCATCATTATGAGATTGAGAAGGGTTGATATACACACTCACCAGTACCTGCATATTGATAAGGATTCATTGCTGGTGCTTGCTGGTAGTAATGCCGTGGCATTGTGAGACTCATTGACTGTAGTGGCTGGAAATGTGGCCGGATCAATGTCTGTTGTAAGCTACCACCTACCGGTAGAGATTGATATATCAACAGTGAATTATTAGCACTAGCTATTTTAAACAACAACTTAAAATGTTCTCACCCTCTTTGTGTTGGGAGGGGGGGGGGGGGCACTTGTTTTTCCAAAGGTTTGTTTTTCTGACGGTTCGTATTTCCAAAACACAAATTTCCCATGCCTAGGGGTTCTTAATTCCGAACATTTGTTGAATTTGAAATTGTCGAGGTTGTTTGTAGTTTTAAAGCAAATAAAAGTGCCGGACCTGATGATATTGAACCAGAGATTGTTAAGAAAACTATACACGTTTATGCCAAACACCTTTGTCATATTTTTAATGAGTCTTTTATTTCAGGACAACTTCCAGATCAATTAAAGTTAGCAAAAGTAATACCCCTTCATAAGAATCTCTGTAAAGAAAAAATAGAAAATTATCGACCTATTTGCCAATCTTTTCAAAAATTTAGAACTAGATGGATGTTCGACTGCGCGCAGTCGAAAATGATGCCTCCGCCATAGAGCAATTTTTCAAATTCAAGTTTGATTGTAATTCATTACAGGTTCGCAGAATATCGTGATTACAAGTTATTTTTGCATACATAATGAGCCCCATGACCTTTGACCTCATGACCCCACAATCTACTCAATTCGTTTGCTTTGCAAGATAAATACATGTTTTGATGGTAATCTGTTCATCGGTTTTAATAATGATGTGATCATAAGTTTTTTTTGCATATATAATGAGCCCTGTGACCTTTGACCTTTGGCCCCAATTCTAATCAGATCATTGGCTCTGCAAGATACATACATGACTAAAGTTTGGCAGAAATCATCCATCGGTTCTTGAAATAGCGTGATCACAAGCTATTTTGCATACATATTGAGCCCTGTGACCTCGTGACCCCAAAATCTTATCAGTTCATTAGCTCTGCTAGATACATACATGACCTAGGTTTGGCAGAAATCCATCAATCGGTTCTTGAGATAACGTGATCACAAGCTATTTTTGCATATATAATGAGCCCTGTGACCTTTGACCTTTGGCCCCAATTCTAATCAGATCATTGGCTCTGCAAGATACATACATGACTAAAGTTTGGCAGAAATCCATCCATCGGTTCTTGAAATAACGTGATCACAAGCTATTTTGCATACATATTGAGCCCTGTGACCTTTGACCTTTGACCCCCTGACCCCAAAATCTACTCAGCTCATTGGCTCTGCCAGATGCATACATGGTTTAAGTTTGGCAGGAATTCATTTATCGGATCTTGAGATAACCGATCACGAGAATGGGACGTAGCCGGAAGCATAAAAAACCTCAGGAATGAAATACAATATAGGGTATAGGAAACATAAACATCGAAGAATGCATATTGTTTGTTGACTACGCATCTTTTACTAAAGATGCTCTCGAGTTTGTCTCATAACCAGCAAACAAAGAAGCTCACTGGGTTTCTGATTTGCATTCATCGTTGTCATTATCATCCTCACCGTACTCGTAAACATCATCCTCGTCTTCCTCCTCCTCCTCCTCCTCACTTTCATCTTCATAATAGCCCTCTTCATCATCATATTCCTCCTCATCTTCCTCCTCACTTTCATCTTCATAATAGCCCTGTTCATCATCATATTCCTCCTCATCTTCCTCCTCTTCTTCTTCTTCCTCATTTTCATTCTTCAGTTCCAGTTGATCTATATGTATAAGGAAAGAAATGAGTTGGGCCAAGGTAAGTTTAAGAATGCTGATATGTGTACATTCAGGCAACAAGACAAACATTTGGGGCTATAGGTAGGGTCATTCCATTATTTAATCGACCCATTATATATCAGGTAGAATATAGGGCAAATTTCATGACAGGTCAATACTTACGAGAATACAAAACTTCCACTCTTGTTATTGCAACATTAATTTTCAAGAAATCAAATGAATTATCTTAAAACTTTGTAACACATGGCATCAATTTTACATGTAATGAGACGCACAGATCAAAAACGTTTGGACCAAATTTTCATGCCATATAATATATGTAAGTGATTTTCCGTAAACCGGTACACATTTCTGTGTGCAATGTATGTCCCAATTGCTTAGAGACATGTATTTGATTGTAATCTCATGACCAGAACTCTACTTCAACTTTAAAGTACATTGCAATGACTACAAACAAAGAACAACCACTTTTAATAATAGAGAGCAATTAAGGTCGATTCAAATGAATGAAGAGGTGACAGTGTAAGATAAAGCCCTGGCCAGCATAGCAATCACGTCATTTAGACAAGATTTTAATCTCAATTTAATTGTAAATCCATACCACAGTGAAGGATGAAAGCCATTGTTAATACTGAAATACTGAAATAATAAAATAATGATCGGGATACACCAATGGGAGTGGAGGTGGTGAACGCAGGAGAGCCCCCTACCGTAGCAGCAACAGCTGCCATCATACTCAGTCAGTCTCTTATTATTATTATTAAAGAGGGCATGTATTGCACTTGAAACATGACTGCCTAGACGCATGCCCATCACAAAATAAACGGTGTTCTACTTTAGATGATTGTGCTACTTCCCATTAGTTGTCCTGTCAACAAGTAGGATACATTTCATGGTGGCAGGAAGGTAAGATACATTGTCATGTTAGTTCATAAAATCCGCCAATTATGAGACGTTTCAACTGCTAAAGTACACTTAGTTCTTCCTGTGCACAGTCCACACATTACTAGTAACAATATGGCTGAATCACCCTGCATGTCGTAGGACGATGCCAACCTGGCAAAAGGCTTCAAAATGTTCAAAAAAGCAGCAGTGTGAACTATTCTTTTCAGTGAAGAATGAACCAGATCACAAACAGGTGGAACATGTTTTATTGTTTATGTGAGCAAGGGATCTAAGATTCAACGATTCTTGAGACCTTACCGCGGATGTAAAAAAGGACATGAAAAATGTATGAAATATAATTTGAGGCTCATTTACGAAACCCAGATCGAAGTCCTGAGTTACACGCCTGTACCTACAAAAGCATAGGCAAGAAGAGAGAGAGAGAATTGATGACTTTCTATCCAGGCTAAGAATGCATGCAAAAACATGTCAGTTTCGGGATGAGCAAGAAACTGCAGATCATGTCATTGAGCAATTCATAGCAGGTAAACATCATGCAGAACTGAAGAAACAATTTCTCGCAAAATATGAGACCCTCTCCATTCAGCAGTGTCTTGACATAGCAAGAGCAACAGAGGCATTGCTATCTCACATGCATCAAGTTAGAGATGTGTATCAAAGGCATCCACAGTCGGTCAATGCCATCAAGTGCGACAAGCCTGCATGCAAGAATTGTGGTAGCCATCGGTGTCCTGCATATGGCACCACTTGCAACAAGTCTGTTAAGCAAAACCACTGGGCCAAATTCTGCCGAGGACAATGCCAAGGGTCTGAAGAATCAAAGGATCGCAAAATAATAACCAGAGCTACCTTGGTCGAGGTCGTAGCCGTGCATGGTCATCATCGAGGCCCATCACACACGGGTTTGCAATCACGTCAACGAGACCGTACATGCAGTAGACAAGTCAAAACCATGCAGCTCTCCACAGTGCGATCATTTCGAACAAATTGACTCTTGACATGATTATTTCAGACATCGCCCTTCGTGGCAACCAAGATGAAGCGCTCAACACATGCACAACTGAGACAAGATGATCAACGCCGAAAAGTTTGACACAGGAGCGCAAACCAACACTATTCCAGTTCGGTCTTTCGTGCAGATATAGTAGTAGCTCTATACAGAGCGAATTTATTTTTCATTTCTTTTCACATAATATAAATAATAACAGACAATAATAAACATAATGATATAACAGAAATGAGCATTGAAATATCTTTGACATTGTTTTTAGTAATTGTAATGCAAAATGATTTAATTACAGGAAATGAAAAAATAAACCTACTTGAAAGCAAAGCTTGTTAGATGTAGGTATAGTATCGGACCACGACTTATCACTCTTCATGATGATACGTTTTGCTGTTTTGACTGCGGATTCTGCCTTTGCTGCTCAGGCAGAGTGTTACTCGACCATCCACTGACGATGACGCTCTTGAGCTTCTGTAGCACATACTTCACCCGCAGCGGTCTGCTTGCGAATCTGCTGGAGGCGCTCATCTTTGATCGGTAAGTGCGCTATCATGTTGACTTCTTCAAATCACTACCAACTGCTCGCGACAAGGTATCTGCAAGATACATGAGCTTTCCTTGCTGATAGCTGATATCAAAATTATATTTTTGAAGACGGAGGAGCATCCCCTGAAGGCGTTTCGGAGCCTTCACTAGCGGCTTCTTTATGATCATTTCAAGTGGCATGTGGTCGCTCACAACGCTAGTAAATCGACCAAACGTGTATTGATGAAAATGCTCCATTGAAAACACTACAGCTAGCATACGCTATGGGGCGTCCATTCTGTAGAAGAGCTGCTCCAAAAACCTTCCTTAGGGTTGTCGTAGGCCAAGCGTAGTGCTTCGGAAACCATTCTTTTGATCCTTGACATTGCATTGGCAAGCTCTGTAAACCATTCCCATGCTATGTCTGGGCGTGTCAGCTGTCTGGTGGGTTCTAGCGTATCAGACAGACTGGGCAAGAATCTGCTTAGGTAGTTCACAAATCCCATTAACCTCTGCACGCCTTGTACATCAGAGGGATTTGGCATTTTGCGGACATCAGCAACCTTCTTTGGAGTAGGCTGTAGTCCTGCACTTGTGACGACATGTCCTAGGAAGGGAATCCCAGTTGCTCTGAACACAGACTTCTCCTTGTTGAGCTTGATGTGTTGTTCAACACATCGCTGGAACAACTGCTGCAAGACCACGAGTCGTGGTCGATGATCGCTTCTTCCATTGTTGCCCCTTTTCCATACACAAGGATATCGTCTGCTACGCAAATCACCCCTGGCAGTCCTTCAAGTGCTTGATGCAATCTTTGCTGGAAGGTTTCTGATGAGGCACTTGTACCAAATGGTAAGC